GCTCTCTCGCTGTGGGGCGGAACCGCGGACCCGGCCGGGAGGGCACTTGTGACATGGCGGCGTAGTTAGAAAACTGCAACTGCAGAAAAGTCAAAGATAATCTCTGCCATTTTCTTTTCTTCTTTTTTTTTTCGCCAAAATTAATAATACGCACACATTGTTTTTCGTGAATTCGAAGGCCGAAACAGTATATATCATAGTTCTAAAATGGACTTGCATTTGGCTTATACTTTTAAAACACTAATGGCATGGTCTAGTTTTGGGCGGGTGGAGGGTTCAACTTTTTAAAAATGAAAGTAATCTAAAATCTAGAGAGGAAAAAAGTTGCAAGTACAGTAGGAATAACCGTTTATTTAGCATCATTAGATGCTGTACTACAACCATTACAATCAGGAAATTCACTTTGATAATATACTACCAGCTAACTCCAAACCCCATTTAATCACCAGTTATTCTTTATAGGAAAAGGCTCCTGTTCTGAATAATACATTGCATTTACGCGTCACATCGCCTAAGGCTTCTTCAACTTGGAATGGTTCCTCAGTTTCCCCTGACTTTCTCCATCTTAGATGACAGGTCGATCATATGTAGAAGGTCCCCTTGCCAATTTGGGTTTGGCTGAAGTTTCCTTCCATTAGATTCAGGTTAGGCTACTTACGCAGGACTGTGGCAGACTTCTGTGTTCACTTTGTATCTTCACAGTGGCCTGTTACTGTCTTAACTTCATTCACTTGATAAAGCTGCTCCGTCAGGTTTCTCCACTATAAAATTACTTTTCCCCTTTGTGATTAATTCATATTTTGAGGGGAAGTGCTTTGAAGCTTTGCAAATATCCCATTACTCATTAAACTTTCCATTTTATTCAAGTACTAACAGAATCATAAGTAATGTAAGTATGCTCTCTTTTTGTCCTATTTTAATTGATGGTTACAATCCATTTTATAATATTTGATGCTCCAAGAGTCCCACATGTGGCCAGTGGGCGTCCATTCAAGCTGACTTTTGACATCTTCATCATTTTTTAGCACTTCCTTACTTTCTAATCTAAGATACTCCATGCTTACCTTGTATTTTTCTGGACCCAGCCCTAGAATCAGTCATTTTCAAAAGAACGCTAGTTCCCTTTTAGTGGAAGATGGTATTTAGAAACCAAGATTTCAGTGCTAGCTGTGCTCATTGCTTTTGCTGTATTATTGGTCCCGGCTATCTCAATGGACAGAATTTGGGCCTCCCTCTCTCCTTCGCTCCCTCCCTCCAGGAGTTCATAGCAATGCCTCCGATTCTGATTTAACACTACAGATTTTATTTATTTTTTTGTCATATTTATAATTCTCTACCCCACCTCCAAGTGTAACATCTACGTTACTTGGGCCAAATGACTTTAGCATTGAATTATTCATAAGAGAAGGGAAGAGGAAAGAGGATCTGAAGAGTTTGGAAATAGGCATTCTGCCTGCGCTGAGAAATGACGATGAGCCAGTCCTTGGGATGTGCAGACAGGTAACCCAGCCTCTGCCTCCAGAAGCTTAATCATGAGTGAGACAGAGAGATTTAATGAATCATGTATAGTACAATGAGGAAATATGAGTGATAAAGGAGCAGTACGGGAAGGCCTAGTTCTTTCCGGAGAGTCAGCTTTAGTTGAGAATTGATAGAACAGCAGGACTCCTGGAGGGGCAGGGAGAAGAGGCAGAGAAATACAGATGGGGGAAGCCACCTTGAAACCATGCTAAGGATGGTGCCTGGAGTCCACTGAAGGATCTGAAACAAGAAGCAACCTGATTAGTGTTTCATTTGAAAGGAGCTTATCTATCAGTGTAGAAACTCTCTATCTGTGTATATAACAGGCTTGAGAGAAGGAGACATTGAATTGGCAGGAAATATTTTTTGGGGAAAGTTGTTTAACTCAGTCAATGGCCAGGTGGACTGAGCTCAGTCTTTCTCTCTTTTCCTCTTTAAAAGCTGAGCCAGCGGAGAAATGATATTGATGTGAACCCTTTCCAGCCTGAATGTGGGGCTTGTGCTAATTTAAGAGTTTGCATTAACTTGTTGAAGTGCAGAAATGGAACAATACTACCAAGAATAGGCAAAGTAGTGTGGATTTTTACTTTGTTCCTTTAAAACTATATTGTAGATCAAGTTTCTAGTCCGTAGTAACTAGTTACTGCATTTTAGCACAGATGGTGGAAGACCAGCTAGGATTGTTCTTGAGCTTGCTGAAATTCTGACAAACATCTCTGAGATGCCACAAAGAGGGATGAAATGATGTCTGAAAGCTGCTGGTCTAGAAACAAGATAATCTATCAGGTGGATCCCAGGGCACTGACCCACACATTTTCTATTGATCAGTATATGCGGCCTACTTAACTACATATTTATTTTTTTTAATTTGTTTTATTTATTTTTTTAATCTTTATTGTTGAGGTTATTACAGATGTCCCTCTTTTTCCCCCTCATTGCCACCCTTTTCCAATTCCCACCCCGCCCCAGGCCTTCAACACCCTATTGTCTGTGTCCATAGATAATGCATATATGCATATAAGATCTTTATTTAATGTCTTCCCACCCACCCCCAACCCCCTTCCCTCTGGGCATCGTCAGTCTGTTCCATTTCCGTGCCTCTGATTCTATTTTATTCACCAGTTTATTCTGTTCATTAGATTTCGTATTCATTTACTTTGATTTTTAGATTCAATTGTTGATAGGTATGTATTTGTTGCCATTTTGTTGTTCATATTTGTGATCTTTTTCTTTTTCTTCTTCTTCCTCTTCTTAAAGAATACCCTTCAACATTTCATATAATATTGCTTTGGTGGTGATGAGCTCCTTGAGCTTTTTTCTTGTCTGTGAAGCTCTTTATCTGACCTTCAGTTTTAAATGATTGGTTTGCTGGGTGAAGTAACCTTGGTTGTAGGTTCTTGCTATTCATCACTTTGAGTATTTATTGCCACACCCTTCTGGGCTGCATAGTTTCTATTGGGAAATCAGCTGACAATCATATGGGTACTCCCTTGTAGGTAACTAACTGCTTTCTCTTGCTGCTTTTAAGATTCTCTCTTTGTCTTTAGCCTTTGGCATTTGATTGATTGATTAAAAAATGTTTCTATTACTGATTTGAGAGAGAGAAATTTATTGTTCCTCTTATTGATGCATTCATTGATTGATTCTTGGTATGTGCCCTAACCAGGGATCAAACCCACAACTTTGGTGTATTGGGACGATGTTCTAACCAACCAAGCTACCAGGGGAGGGAAGCCCTTGACACTTTAATTGTGATGTGTCTTGGTGTGGTTCTCTTTTGATTCCTCTTGTCTGGGACTTTCTGTGCTTCCTGGGCTTGTAAGTCTATTTCTTTGACCAGGTAGAGGAAGTTTTCTGTCATTATTTCTTCAAATAGGTTTTCAATATCTTGTTCTCTCTCTTCTTCTGGCACCTCCATAATGTGAATGTTGGTACACTTGAAGTTGTCCTGCCCGGAGGAGCAAGGGGTCCCAGCCCCACCCTAGACCCTCAGCCCAGGGTCCCAGATCTGGGAAAAGAAGTAAGAACTACAGGCTATAAAAACCAGTACAGATTGGGGCTCACACTATATTCATATTTTTTTGTTCTTTTTTCTTTTTGCTCTTCTGGTTGGGTGTTTTTTGTTTCCTCATATTTCAAATTGTTGATTTGATTCTCAGAATCCTCTACTCTACTATTGAATCCCTATATATTATTCTTTATTTTAGTCAATGTATGCTTAATTT